TCGATCTGTAGAGATAGATTTATGCAGTTATCAAACGTGAAAATCGGACTTCTAATGATGGACCTTTAAATATATACTGAAAAAAATGTGTTTGGTTTCTGGTCATTTTCCATTAAATAAAAATAAAAAAAGTCTATATATTGTTTTTTATGTTCATTTCTTTCAAATGGACAGAACTTGTCTCTGGTTGTGTGATTAATTGTGGATTTTTTCAAAATCTCAGCATGAAAGAACCCCCGACAGGAAATGACGTAATAAAATCAATTAAAAAAACAAAAGAGAAGAATATTTACCAAAACTTTAGGTCAAATACTGTAAAACTTCTATTAACAGCCCGGGTTTATATTTACTTATTGTAAATTGACCCGACCTTTATTTTGGAAAGGTGTTATATGCTCTGTACCTTTGACTACATCCTTTTTTTTGTTGCATGTGCATTATTAAAAATGTTGAATTATGACGAGAAATGACAAGACTACAGGAGAGGGTGAGGGTCCAGGGTTTTGACTTTTTCTCAGAATTCAGATTTTCCTCGCACATAATTCCGAGAATAAAAAAAGTAAAAACTTTCCTTTCCGAGGCCCTAATCCTCTTCGGTATAAGCTCGGTGTAAAATTCAGCATTATTCTAAACCATAATGCTTTATTTTGACATGATTGACCGGATGTGGTTTGGTGTTGTCCGATTGGTTGATTCTGCCCTCAATATAAAGCAGCGCAGCCGCTGCTGAAGCTGATACAAACTTTCTCCTCTCCGCCGGTTGAGAGCACCGACCCTCCGGTCTGTCCGGTTACTGAGCCTGTTGAACAAAAGAAAGAAAGTGAAGTTATAAAACCGGACAAAGAAGGAATAAGCTAACACACAAACAGGAGAGAAACAGGACTCATTTAGTTAACTGATTTAAAATAGTTAAAAAAAATAAAGCTGGGGAAAGTTCGGTGTTTCAGAGCACGGAGGTAAATGGAAGCGCAGTTGTTGTGTTGTGAGGGGGACAGGCCTGCTATCCGGAGGGCCTACCGGGACACCAACCTGTTGACTGACCGGGTCCTGCAAGCTCTTCTGCGGGCAGAAGACAAGTACCTCCCCGCTCCGAACTACTTCAAATGCGTCCAGAAGGAGATCTCTCCCTACATGAGGAGGATAGTGGCCACCTGGATGCTGGAGGTGAGTCAACACAGACAATAAATTAAGTTTGACTTTATAATCACTTCTACCATTTTTAACTATTCTGACAGATTTAGACCTTCGGATAAATTCGGCATACATACTTTTCTGAAATCCATGTATATTTAATTTAGATTCAGAGTGCTCTCTAGCTCCTCTGCCCTGTTAGTGGGAGAGTTCAGAGAAGATTTAAAGGTGTAGCTTCTTAAAATCAATATAAAAGTGTAAGAAATGTGTTCCGAATTAAAGTTTTAGACCTTACTAATGAGTACTGTAGAGAAAGGGTTAAATAAAATGCAGTCTTGTAGATAATCGAATAGCGTTTATTTGATTTGATGTGTTTTTAGATGGGGTTTGGAGTGGTTGTGTGTAACTAACTGGAGGTGCTCAGAAAAACACAACACAGGCTAAAACATGGCTTGTTATTGTGTTTAATAACTGTTTGCACTGAATTGGACTGTAAAGGTGACGCTGCCATGTGTGAGATGTTCTTATTTCAGCACTTTATGAAGTTAAATAAAGTTCTCATCGCCCCACCAAACGCTTCTCGTCACCACGACATCCATCCGCTCACATGTTTAACATCACAACGATCAGAGACGTGTCAAATGTGCAGATAATGCAGACCTATTTTGTGTTTGAATGATTCAGGGATATTTATATAAGTATATATTTGGTGTGCAGGCTGCAGACCACGCTGCCTTTGTGTTGGGGGCTCATGCAGGAACTCAGGGTGCTCAGGTTTTACTGAGGCTCCATATCCCCGCAATTAACACTATTAAACTTTACAACCTTTAACACAGTCACAAAGTGTCACAAAGACACTCACTGTGCACTGCATTCTTGTTCCAGTCTGTGTGCATGAGTGATTATTGACGTGTAATAACGGATTTATATCAGCATTTCCTCTGCACCCTTTATTTAGGGGATATAACTTTTATAGAGCCGATGGCTGATAACCACATGCTCCTGATACAGATAAGATTACCGATTTTTACATTATTGCATTTTAAAAAGAAGTTCATCGAATGTTGTTTCTGCACATCTGGGGGTCTGAAAGGTTCAATATGTAGTCAGCACAGATGTTTACGTTAATGTTCTGTACTAGCTGCCTTCACCAACATCAACACCCAAAAACCAAACACTTACAATTTTCAATTCTTTACTATTTAACCAACTTAATGATTTTACTATCTGCAGAGAACCAATGAGGCTCGACAGATAGTATAAACATGTCGTTAATGAGCCCCTTAAATATAACCAAAAGACTTTAAGTAAGACTAAACATTTTAAACTTTCATATTTTCAATAAGTTTATGTTGATGTTTTGTTCTCTAATCTACAAACTGAATACATCTCCTTCCTTACAGAACCGTTACAAGGGGGTGGAGTCTTTGTTTACGTCTATTTTTACAAAACATTCGTTTCTGTGAAGGGGGGGGGGGGAGTGAGCTGACGTTTACAGCTAGTGATGCGATACTCGGTAAACTTCCTGCAGTTTTCTAACACCTGTCGAGTCGGCGCTACAGCACTCTCCTTTGACTTGGTGCTAACCAAGCGACAACCTCTGGTCTTGAAAAATGAAGCCAATGCGGAAGTGCAAAATCCTGCAGTTCCTGGAGTGTCCACTAGAGGCTGGCTGCAGAAGCACAGGAAGTCACATACACACCCATTCTAAAAAGCCTGTTTTTACAGCAGAGATGAACATGTTTACAGCCTGGTTCAAAAAACCAAATAGGTGTGATTAGCTCATGTCTGGATGGACACACACTGTACGGGGGGGTGAATGTTTTGATGACTCATCAGTTTTGATTTGATGAAGGATAAGAGTTATTCACAATAAGGCGTGTAGCTGACCTGATTGACAGGTGGGCGCGGTGTAACGGTTTGTCAGGAGATTTAAAACCCGCCTCAGCTCCAGCTCTCAGCCTGTCGTTAGGTTGACTGAAAGTTAGACTGAGACAGCATTTCCAGCATGGAGACCGCCATCGATGGGACTCCAGCGCCCCCTGCAGGGACAGTTTTGCAAAATTCCTCTCTTGTTATTCTGCTCTGGTTTAACGCCTTGTAAACGCTCGCTGCAGCTATGCTACTCCTCCCTCTCTGTATTTTATGGTGGCTCGCATATGTGTAGGCTTGTTAATAAGTAAATGAATGGCAAAATTATCGGTTGATTCTATCGGTTGGGCTGAAATTTAAGATTAAGATTAACTTTATTGTCCCAGTGGGAAATTTGTCTTGGACTTCACAGAGCTCTGATGCAGTAGCAAAATAACAAAATACATTCATTCGTCAGTAAAAGACCAAAATGAGTCGAGGCAGCGGTGACTTACACTAACAATAAATGACTGTTTGTGGAAACAGTGTTTTTATAATGAAGATAAATAAACAGGGTTGTGTTCTGGTTTCATTGTTCAGGTGTGTGAGGAGCAGAAGTGTGAAGAGGATGTCTTCCCCCTCGCTATGAACTACCTGGACCGCTTCCTGTCAGTAGAGCGAACAAAGAAGGCTCACCTGCAGTTACTGGGAGCTGCCTGCATGTTCCTGGCGTCCAAACTGAAGGAGACGATTCCCCTGACTGCAGAGAAACTCTGCATCTACACCGACAACTCCATCTCACCTGCTCAGCTGCTGGTAGGTCTGCAGGAGAGGACAGAGATATCTGAACCTCACAGAGCACAGGAGACACTGGTCTAAGCTGGTCCCAGTTGTATCTGAACAAAAAACAAAGTCAAACCATCACACTAAAGCAGTAAGCCTGTTTACCCGCTGCAGACGTTACAGCCTGTTTACCCGCTGCAGACGTTACAGTCTGTTTACCCGCTGCAGACGTTACAGTCTGTTTACCCGCTGCAGACGTTACAGTCTGTTTACCCGCTGCAGACGTTACAGCCTGTTTACCCGCTGCAGACGTTACAGTCTGTTTACCTGCTGCAGACGTTACAGCCTGTTTACCTGCAGACGTTACAGCCTGTTTACCCGCTGCAGACGTTACAGCCTGTTTACCCGCTGCAGACGTTACAGCCTGTTTACCTGCTGAAGACGTTACAGCCTGTTTACCTGCAGACGTTACAGTCTGTTTACCTGCTGCAGACGTTACAGTCTGTTTACCTGCAGACGTTACAGTCTGTTTACCTGCAGACGTTACAGCCTGTTTACCTGCAGACGTTACAGTCTTTTTACCCGCTGCAGACGTTACAGTCTGTTTACCCGCTGCAGACGTTACAGTCTGTTTACCCGCTGCAGACGTTACAGTCTGTTTACCCTCTGCAGACGTTACAGTCTGTTTACCCGCTGCAGACGTTACAGACTGTTTACCCTCTGCAGACATTACAGTCTGTTTACCTGCTGCAGACGTTACAGTCTGATTACCTGCAGAGGTTACAGTCTGTTTACCTGCTGCAGACGTTACAGTCTGTTTACCCGCTGCAGACATTACAGTCTGTTTACCTGCAGACGTTACAGTCTGTTTACCCGCTGCAGACGTTACAGACTGTTTACCCGCTGCAGACGTTACAGACTGTTTACCTGCAGACGTTACAGTCTGTTTACCTGCTGCAGACGTTACAGTCTGTTTACCTGCAGACGTTACAGTCTGTTTACCGCTGCAGACGTTACAGACTGTTTACCCGCTGCAGACGTTACAGTCTGTTTACCCGCTGCAGACATTACAGTCTGTTTACCTGCAGACGTTACAGTCTGTTTACCTGCTGCAGACGTTACAGTCTGTTTACCTGCAGACGTTACAGTCTGTTTACCTGCTGCAGACGTTACAGTCTGTTTACCCGCTGCAGACGTTACAGTCTGTTTACCCGCTGCAGACGTTACAGTCTGTTTACCGCTGCAGACGTTACAGTCTGTTTACCTGCAGACGTTACAGTCTGTTTACCCGCTGCAGACGTTAGTCTGTTTACCCTCTGCAGACATTACAGTCTGTTTACCTGCTGCAGACGTTACAGACTGTTTACCCTCTGCAGACATTACAGTCTGTTTACCTGCTGCAGACGTTACAGTCTGTTTACCTGCAGAGTTTACAGTCTGTTTACCTGCTGCAGACGTTACAGTCTGTTTACCCGCTGCAGACATTACAGTCTGTTTACCTGCAGACGTTACAGTCTGTTTACCCGCTGCAGACGTTACAGACTGTTTACCCGCTGCAGACGTTACAGACTGTTTACCTGCAGAGTTTACAGTCTGTTTACCTGCTGCAGACGTTACAGTCTGTTTACCTGCAGATGTTACAGTCTGTTTACCCGCTGCGGACGTTACAGACTGTTTACCCGCTGCAGACGTTACAGACTGTTTACCCGCTGCAGACATTACAGTCTGTTTACCTGCAGACATTACAGTCTGTTTACCTGCTGCAGACGTTACAGTCTGTTTACCTGCAGAGTTACAGTCTGTTTACCTGCTGCAGACGTTACAGTCTGTTTACCCGCTGCAGACGTTACAGTCTGTTTACCCGCTGCAGACGTTACAGTCTGTTTACCCGCTGCAGACGTTACAGTCTGTTTACCTGCAGACGTTACAGTCTGTTTACCCGCTGCAGACGTTACAGACTGTTTACCCGCTGCAGACGTTACAGTCTGTTTACCCGCTGCAGACGTTACAGTCTGTTTACCCGCTGCAGACGTTACAGTCTGTTTACCTGCAGACGTTACAGCCTGTTTACCTGCAGACGTTACAGTCTGTTTACCTGCTGCAGACATTACAGTCTGTTTACCTGCAGACTTTACAGTCTGTTTACCTGCAGACGTTACAGCCTGTTTACCTGCAGACGTTACAGTCTGTTTACCCGCTGCAGACGTTACAGTCTGTTTACCCGCTGCAGACGTTACAGACTGTTTACCCGCTGCAGACTTACAGTCTGTTTACCTGCAGACGTTACAGACTGTTTACCCGCTGCAGACGTTACAGTCTGTTTACCCGCTGCAGACGTTACAGTCTGTTTACCCGCTGCAGACGTTACAGTCTGTTTACCCGCTGCAGACGTTACAGCCTGTTTACCCGCTGCAGACGTTACAGTCTGTTTACCCGCTGCAGACGTTACAGACTGTTTACCCGCTGCAGACTTTACAGTCTGTTTACCTGCAGACGTTACAGTCTGTTTACCCGCTGCAGACGTTACAGTCTGTTTACCCGCTGCAGACGTTACAGTCTGTTTACCCGCTGCAGACGTTACAGTCTGTTTACCTGCAGACGTTACAGTCTGTTTACCTGCTGCAGACGTTACAGACTGTTTACCCGCTGCAGACGTTACAGTCTGTTTACCCGCTGCAGACGTTACAGTCTGTTTACCCGCTGCAGGCGTTACAGTCTGTTTACCCGCTGCAGACGTTACAGTCTGTTTACCCGCTGCAGACATTACAGTCTGTTTACCTGCAGACGTTACAGTCTGTTTACCCGCTGCAGACGTTACAGTCTGTTTACCTTCTGCAGACGTTACAGTCTGTTTACCCGCTGCAGACGTTACAGTCTGTTTACCCGCTGCAGACGTTACAGACTGTTTACCCGCTGCAGACGTTACAGTCTGTTTACCTGCAGACGTTACAGCCTGTTTACCTGCAGACGTTACAGTCTGTTTACCCGCTGCAGACGTTACAGTTTGTTTACCTGCAGACTTTACAGTCTGTTTACCTGCAGACGTTACAGCCTGTTTACCTGCAGACGTTACAGTCTGTTTACCCGCTGCAGACGTTACAGTCTGTTTACCCGCTGCAGACGTTACAGTCTGTTTACCCACTGCAGACTTTACAGTCTGTTTACCTGCAGACGTTACAGTCTGTTTACCCGCTGCAGACGTTACAGACTGTTTACCCGCTGCAGACGTTACAGTCTGTTTACCTGCAGACGTTACAGACTGTTTACCCGCTGCAGACTTTACAGTCTGTTTACCTGCAGACGTTACAGACTGTTTACCCGCTGCAGACGTTACAGACTGTTTACCTGCTGCAGACGTTACAGTCTGTTTACCTGCAGACGTTACAGCCTGTTTACCTGCAGACGTTACAGTCTGTTTACCCGCTGAAGACGTTACAGACTGTTTACCCGCTGCAGACTTTACAGTCTGTTTACCTGCTGCAGACGTTACAGTCTGTTTACCTGCAGACATTACAGTCTGTTTACCTGCAGACATTACAGCCTGTTTACCTGCAGACGTGACAGACCTACCTGTAACATATAACCTGTGGAGGCAGAGGTAGAACAGCAACTTTAAAGGAAGAGAGCGATGGAACAGCTGACTCCTGTAGAGCACCAGACTTTCCTCTTAAAATATTTTGTCCACTCTGGGAAATATAGACTCTGAGTGTGAAACATATTCCCGCCTGTGTGGATCCTAGCAGCAGATTGTTCTGGATTGTTCTGGATTAGGACACGTCCCCAGAGGATGTGTCCTAATAGTTACTTTGATGATTTTACCTTTTTCCCTGATCTTATTGATCACTGTTAATGTTCTGGGTGGAGGGTTCCTAATGGTCTGGATGTCCCCTGAGCTTCCCTCCCTTAAAGCCTAAAATCCCTCCTCGTTAATCCCTTCATCTGTCTGTGGATCACACTTGAACGTGTCCTTGTCCCCTCACAGCAGATGGAGCTGATGGTTTTGAACAAGCTGAAGTGGGACCTGGCCTCTGTAACCCCTCTGGACTTCATAGACCACTTCCTGTCTCAGCTGGCAGTAAGGCGGGAGAACCGACCGATCCTCAGGAAGCACGCTCAGACGTTTGTGGCGCTCTGTGCGACAGGTACGCTTCAGTCTTTTTTTTTAAGATTTATTTTTGGGCTTTTTCGTGCCTTTAATTCAGAGAGAGGACAGTGGATAGAGTCAGAAACCAGAGAGAGAGAGAGGACAGTGGATAGAGTCAGAAACCAGAGAGAGAGGACAGTGGATAGAGTCTGAAACCAGAGAGAGAGAGGACAGTGGATAGAGTCAGAAACCAGAGAGAGAGAGGACAGTGGATAGAGTCAGAAACCAGAGAGAGAGAGGACAGTGGATAGAGTCAGAAACAAGAGAGAGAGAGGGACAGTGGATAGAGTCAGAAACCAGAGAGAGAGAGGACAGTGGATAGAGTCAGAAACCAGAGAGAGAGAGAGGACAGTGGATAGAGTCTGAAACCAGAGAGAGAGAGGACAGTGGATAGAGTCAGAAACAGAGAGAGAGAGAGGACAGTGGATAGAGTCAGAAACCAGAGAGAGAGAGGACAGTGGATAGAGTCAGAAACCAGAGAGAGAGGACAGTGGATAGAGTCTGAAACCAGAGAGAGAGAGCGGGGATTGACATGTGGAAAGGAGCCACGGGTGGAAGTGAACCCGGGCCTACCGCTCGAGATGAGAGTCTCAACACATGGGACGCGCGCCCTAACCATTGCGCCACCAGCGCGCCCCATCAGTCTTTTTTTTAACAAAGTTTAAATAAAGTTTGTGATCTAACGACGCAAGCTGATCATCTAACTTCCCTTCCATTCTCTTATCCACACACACACACATAGTAACCATAGTAACAAAACGTTTGTATGTTGTTCCTGTATAGACGTGAAGTTCATAGCGAGCCCCCCGTCCATGGTGGCTGCAGGCAGCATGGTGGCAGCGGTGGAGGGTCTGCAGATGAGGATGGTGGGAAACAGCTCCATGTATGAGAAACTGACGGAGCAGCTGGCTCAGACCATCAGGAGCGACCCGGTGAGTCCACCTGTCCCCATCACTCCAGAAAAACATATTATCTACTGTACGGTATAAGATCAGGTACAGGGGGGGACACCAGGGGGGGACACCAGGGGGGGGGGGGGGACACTAGAAGGAGACACCAGGGGGAGACACTAGGGGGGGACACCAGGGGGGTACACCAAGAGGAGACACCAAGAGGAGACACCAGGGGGGGACACTAGGGGGGGACACCAGGGGGAGATACCAGGGGGAGATACCAGGGGGAGACACCAAGAGGAGACACCAAGAGGAGATACCAAGAGGAGACACCAGGGGGGGACACTAGGAGGAGACACTAGGGGGGACACCAGGGGGAGACACCAGGGGGGGACACCAGGGGGGGACACCAAGAGGAGACACCAAGAGGAGATACCAAGAGGGGACACTAGGGGGAGACACTAGGGGGGGACACTAGGAGGAGACACCAGGGGGAGACACCAGGGGGAGACACTAGGGGGGGACACCAGGGGGGGACACCAAGAGGAGATACCAAGAGGAGACACCAGGGGGAGACACTAGGGGGGGACACCAGGGGGGGACACTAGGGGGGGACACCAGGGGGGGGACACCAAGAGGAGACACCAAGAGGAGATACCAAGAGGGGACACTAGGGGGGGACACTAGGAGGAGACACCAGGGGGAGACACTAGGGGGAGACACTAGGGGGGGACACCAGGGGGGACACCAAGAGGAGACACAAGAGGAGATACCAAGAGGGGACACTAGGGGGGACACTAGGAGGAGACACCAGGGGGAGACACTAGGGGGGGACACAAGAGGAGACACCAAGAGGAGATACCAAGAGGGGACACTAGGGGGGGACACTAGGAGGAGACACCAGGGGGAGACACCAGGGGGAGACACTAGGGGGAGACACCAGGGGGAGACACTAGGGGGGGACACCAGGGGGGGGACCAAGAGGAGACACCAAGAGGAGATACCAAGAGGGGACACTAGGGGGGGACACTAGGAGGAGACACCAGGGGGAGACACTAGGGGGGACACTAGGAGGAGACATTAGGAAGTGACACCATCAGATGAACATCACCAACCAAAAACAGCTGTTTTTATTAATATAATATATATATAAACATCTGTCAGTGAACAGGAGAAAGGTGGGTGGAGTTCTAATGAAGTAATGAATGAATAAAGCGCTGTCAATCAAAGGGCCGCTGTCTGGTTATCAAACTGACCTGATCCCTCCCTCCTCCAGGACTGTCTCCGAGCGTGTCAGGAGCAGATCGAGTCCCTGCTGGAGACCAGCCTCAGACAGGCTCAACAACAGCAACACTCCGTCGCCATGGAAACCAAGAGCAGCGGCGAGGGGCAGGACCTCTCGGCCACGCCCACAGATGTGAGAGATGTAAACATCTGACCGAGGAGGGGTAAAAGAAGTCGGTGGATCTGACGCAGATCTGATCGATAAGCTCCGCAGAGACTCAACGGTGTGTCCGAACTGTGAACAGGAAGTCAAAGATGAACTGTGTGAAAGAAAGGAAGGAGGAGGAGCTGATTGGACAGAAACATGTCCGTGTTTCAGTGATGACTCACACAGTCACATTGATCCTGATTGGCTGGCTGTAACACACCTTACACTTGCCTTATTGGTCATGACTATCACCTGATCACCGGAGCTGTTTCAGCAGCTGACTCTCTAACGCTACTGAACGTGTGGTCGACGCCGGCCGCTGTTTGGAGTTCAATCTCCTTCTGTTTCATCCATGTGCAGCTGAGCAGAGACTCTTCAGCTGAGCATCTCAGGGCCTGTTTGAATTAAAGCTTTAAGATGTACTAATGTCAGACTGAGGTCATTAAGCCCCGCCCCCTCTGAGTTCTACAGCTTTATATGGCTGCTCATGGTGGGACTATTACCTGTCTGTTAATAATAAACAGAGTTTGATGACATGAATGAAATATAACCTGTGATGTAGAATTCATTTGAAACATGTTTTTATAAAGTGTGTGTGTGTGACATTCAGGAGCGTGGTTTTTATGGTTATTCTCCTCTTGAAGCAGTTGAATAAATCTACGCCATGCTCAACGTGTGAAGTCATCTCTCAATCGATCCGCGGTCATCGTCTCAGAGACGATTTAGGCTTCAGCTGAAGTCAGCGGAAAGCATGAAGACATCTCCTCCTGCGCTGCGTTAGAACGTCTGCAGCGTAACATACAGATTGTCTTGTTCTTTACTTTCAGTGTAAAGGAAAACACTAGGGGGGGACTTCTTCATCCAGTAGGTGTCGCCCTTTAGCACCAGCATGAAAACAAAAGAAACTGCTGTTAGGCCACGCCTCCTCCATACTGAAGCCTCTGCTCTCCTCCAGAGACACACCTCCAACCCCCCCCTCCCCCTCCACTCACATTCACATGAAGGAGTTCAGCACAAGTTGTGGACAAACTTGTCCTCGGCTCAAGCTGCATTGTTGTGTTAGCATGCTAATGTTAGCGCTCTTCAGTCAGCTCGTAGCTTCACATTGTTGTGTTAGCATGCTAATGTTAGCGCTCTTCAGTCAGCTCGTAGCTTCACATTTCATGTAAACTGACACAGAATGAGCGTGATCTAAAAACTCTTACTAACATCCAAATAATCAGTGAGTATGTTCTTCTTCTTCTCTCTAGTTCTTGACTAAAACAGCTTTTATACACAAGGGGAGGAGCCGGCCGTCCCGTCCATGTAAACACGGCTCTGACAACAACACAGCCAGCGGGACTCGAGCTTCTCCCTCATTGTAGACAGTCAGGACTCAGAGACACATTTACACAGGACACACTTTGAGATATTTATGTGGAACATGTCGCACGTTCTTCTTTTTAAGGGTTTGTTGAAATAACAACATCAGAAGTAAAACATCGAGCCTTGTCAGAGCCATCAGTTATGATGCCTTTCAGGTTGTTGGGAATCTGAGCGCTGATCTGTGGTTTTTGCGTCGAGCATATGTTGGTTGCATAAGTTAAAATGTTTGATCTCTATCTGATTGTGAGCTTCACTTTGATACAGATTTGTGTCTACAGAGACGGACGAATCAGCATCAACCGCCCGCTGGGAGCCGGCATGTCGTCAGCAGTGATTGTGTCCCGCCAGCTTTTGGTTTCTATCCGTCTTATTTTTCCTGCTTATACTTGATTGGTCAATACAGACAAACAGAAACAACACTTCCCATGCTGAAAGTCCAGACTGAGACTGAGATGTAAAGTGACGTATTGTTTTACACAAATAAAATGATGACAACTTGTGGGAGGAGTTAACAGGGGCTCCTCACTTTGGTTCTGGTGTGATGCCATGTAGTGCACTTCTGACACCACTAGAGGGAGTCCCTTCAGTTTGAGTGGATTGGAGCAGAGCTGTCTTCAGTCTGTGAGGAGCATCAGGGGGGTCTTTGAATGCATCACACAAACACAGAACATGTTAAGCTGAACAACACACAGATACAATCTAACTACATTTACATAATAGTATGATGTCATCGCATTGCGAGGGGATTGGACACAACATGAGGACAAACAGATCTCACACAGTCCTTCTGATCTGTTTTATCAGATCAGTGTGAGACTTTATTGAGCTTCTGATTTGTATTCTTCTTTCTTCCTGTCCAGCTGAAGATGTTCTAACAGAGAGACGCTTGTATCAGGTTCAGTCTGTGTTTGGACGGGTCGTGAAGATGAATTAAAGAACAACGAGCTCAGAAACGTTGATGTTAATGTTCTCAGCGTTTGTGTTTTAAGATTTTGTGGTGACATTAAAGACAGTCAGCAGCTTTATCCTACAAACTGAAATACAGATTTATTCTAAAGTACAGCTGCTCCATGGTCTCCATGGCCTCCATACATATGTGACTGTGTCTGCAGAGACTCTGTTCTCTCACTGGATTTTACTGTTCAGGTCTGTAAACCTTTCTGTGTTCTAACCTCTCTCCATTTTTCAAAAGCATCTCCAATATTGATCCTAGTTTGAGCACGTTTCTGCTCGTGGAGCTTATTAGAAACATGCAGAGGCTTTTTAGGTCGGGTACAATCACTTCTATCTGAACCACTTCTCTTGACCGCTTCCATCGCTGCAACACCTGTTGACCTGATAACTGCTCTCATATCTGACAAACTGAGGGGCGTCCAAAATGGTCATTTGGGGGGTGTCTTAAAAGCGCCTACCTTCTCTGGTCCAAACAAATCCAGAGCATTCAGGAGCAGAATCTAAAGTTAGAAGGAGGACATACTGGCTGCTGCATTGTTGTCAGAGAAGCCAGCACTTCAACATGTTTCCTTAATGATCAGAGAGTAAGATACCTTTATCATTTACCTCTCTACAGACAGAAGAAGGAAAGTTGTAAAATAACAAACTACAAATATCTTTGAGCATAAATCTGAATCAGTTGGTTCCACTAGATGGCGTCAGAGCGTCTCCTAATGAGGGAAACATCAGTGAACATAAATAACTTGTGTAAATATAAAAACCTCATTGGTCTAAAGTTGAATAAACATGAAGCAGAAGTGAATAGAACCTAACAGCAGGACAGCATGATAAAGATATGAAGTGATGAAGATGAATTCCATACATTCCACAGAGAGCACGGCGTGCTACACAGTTCACCGTGTTCTCTGCTGGAGGTCACGATGACTCTGAACACAGACTTTGATCTGAACTCTGACAATCAATGAGGGTTGGTTTAGTCTCTTTAGGTAAAGGTTAAGAGACGAGCGATCTGTCGGGCTGGTTAGGAAACTCACCTGTAATTATTAAAACACTTTAGAGACAGAGAGAGAGAGAGAGGGAGAGAGAGAGAGACAGAGAGAGAGAGAGAGACAGAGAGAGAGAGAGAGAGACAGAGAGAGAGGGAGAGACAGAGAGAGAGAGAGAGGGAGAGAGAGAGAGAGACAGAGAGAGAGACAGAGAGAGAGAGAGAGAGACAGAGAGAGAGAGGGAGAGACAGAGAGAGAGAGAGAGGGAGAGAGAGAGAGAGACAGAGAGAGAGACAGAGAGAGAGAGAGAGACAGAGAGAGAGGGAGAGAGAGAGAGAGAGAGAGAGGAGAGAGAGAGAGAGAGAGAGAGAGAGAGAGAGAGAGAGAGAGAGACAGAGAGAGAGGGAGAGACAGAGAGAGAGAGAGAGAGACAGAGAGAGAGAGAGAGGGAGCCACAGGTCGGACTTTAACCTGGGCCGCTTGGAGGACTTCAGCCTCCATGTTGTTTTTCTTCTGCATGTCTGTGGTTTGAATGTGTGTGTGTGTGTGTGTGTGTGTGTGTGTGTGTGTGTGTGTGTGTGTGCCCTGACAGGAGGAAGCAGAAGTCTTTAGTTTCTTCATGTTCCTGCAGCTGTGGTTAACCATCAGCTGACATCATCGCAGACTTACTCCCTCTCTCTCTTTTAGGGACGATCAGAGCCGAGGCAGGTCACACAGATGACATCAAAGAACGATTTCACAAAGAGGCTCCCTCCTTCTTTCCTGCACAGAACACACCTTTAACCACAGTGTGACGCACACACGGCTGAGCAACACACACACACACACACACACACGGCCAGTCTGTGTCACAACAGAGAGGGAGCAGACATAGACACACACACACACACACACACACACACACACACACACACACAGGGTCAGGTGTGAACATGTCGGGGAAGCTGCAGGGGAACATCGTGGTGACGGGCTCCAACCGAGGGATCGGACTGGAGCTGGTCCGACAGCTGGCTCAGCAGGTGAAGGAGGAGGAGACTCACCTGTACGCCTGCTGCAGGGAGCCGGAGGGCAGCCAGGCTCAGGTGAGACACAAAGCCAACACATCAAATAAGAACCATTCAGAATAATAATCTCAGCCTGAGGTCTGCTTTGATTAGAGATTTGAGTATTTGTCTCGTCACAGCTTGTAAGACTGTTTCCTCCTCTTCAAATTAAAAATGCATTAAAGAGTTAATATTATCATGTGGAAGAAGTAAAGGATTTAAGGATGTGTGATGGATCTCTGAAGAGCTCGATCGGTCGTCCTGTCGAGAATCTGATTTGTTCTATTCTGAAGAGAGTCATCCTGAAGATCTGAGGCTCAGATAAGAACTGCCTGGAGGTTACTGATGTGTCATAAGGGTTAAAGGTGACATATCCTCCTCCTCTTCTTCAGTTTAAATAAGTCTCAGAGCTCCTCTTCAACATGTGTGTGAAGTTTCTTGTTCTAAATCCACTCTGATCCTGTATTTGATCATGTCTATAAACCCCTCTATTTCAGCCCTGCTCAGAACAGGCTGTTTCTGTGTCTGTACCTTTAAATATGTAAATGAGCTGTGTCTGACCACGCCCCCTCTCTGGAAGGGCTTGGGTGTAGTCGGTGCTTTCTCGCTCCATGTCCTATTGTTTACGGTGAGAAGGCAGACTCAGAGGGCAGAACAAACACCTAGCTGTGGGAGTGTCACCCACCTGGGGGAGGGGCTACTGCCTTCATGGTGTCTCTCCATGTCTCTGTCTTCTTCATGGTGTGTCTCTCTTCTGTTTCCTGCAGGCTCTGAGAGAACTGGCGGCTCAGCATCCTGGAAAGATCTCAATAATCCGACTGGGTAAACACAACTTTCATACCTCTTGAGTGCATGCTTACAGAGAGAAACTGGGATGGATTCTGATCTGGATTATTGGTAATAAAAAGTTATTTAGACGCTTGGAGGATTTCAGAGGCAGTTTGTCTATCCTGATATTTCAAATGCTGCATGTGTGAAAACAGCCCAAGTGTCATGTAGTCTCCTCACATGCCCTGAATCCAAATCAACACCAGACGCTTCAGTCCGTCTTTTTAAATGTCACTTAAACACACTTTTTCTAACATGCATCACTGAAGAAAAAGATAATGTATTGTAAAAAGTGAAGGTGCACAATTTAAACAAAGGAAGTGCATGTAAGTTGTGTAAAATAACTAAAATCAAAATTCTGAGTGAAAAAAGTAAAAAAAACAAAAAAGGATCCCATTCATGAAAAGTGCTGCAATTGAATTATTTTGTCATTGTCATGTCATTGAAATTTAGCATAATCCTTGACTCAAAAGATAGTAAACAAAGTACCCTTTTGTCTTGTTTACTGTAACATGAAGATGTTAAATCTGTGCTCCATCTGTGTTTCATTTATAACAACATCGTATAACAACAAGACATTACTGCTCCACTGTCTGCAGAGTGACAGGAACATGCTCGTCTGTTCTTTAATCATCAATATTTCTCTTTTTATCTAATCTATGTAAAACAAAGTCGACCCTTAAAGGCAGAAGGATTGACCCTGGAGGACTTCAGGTGCATGCTCCCTTTAAATCATCAAAAGAACAAGTGTTTGTGCTGATTTAATACCCTGAACAACAACATTTGAAAATGACTTTAAATGTTTGATGTGGGTCTTTATGAGCGAGGAAACGTTTTGCAATTTGCAGAAGATTTGATGCACTAAAACCACTCATATCAGACGGACAGAGGAGATAACACATTTCTTCTTCTCATGCTTCAAACACAGCTCTGACATTTGATCCCTCAGTGTGCTGATAGCATCACTTTGAGCAGATATCATCATGTGCCTCTCTGCATGTGCACGTGTTCTCTTCACAGACATATCCGATGAGGAGAGTATCTCAGCTGCTGTTCAGGCGGTGAGCGAGCACATCGGAGACGAAGGCTTGAACCTTCTCATCAACAACGCTGCCATCAACAAACCAGCTTCACCGGCGCCGTTATCCGCCACCGAGAAAAAACACATGATGGACGTTTATGAAACCAACGTCGTGGGACCGTTTCTGCTGGCCAAGGTTGGTCTACGAGACTCTGTGCTCAACGACAGAAACAGAAACCACACAGAAGAAAATAAATGTCTGATGTTTGCAACACATCTGCTGTGTTACGCATTTAAATCACCACTTACAGAACTGATGCACCAAAACATCAACAAAGACTAAAACCATCCTGAAAGAGTTCATACATTTAGTTACTAATGTGAAGAATTTAGATTTTATTTATGTAGTTATTTCAATCAGTAACAACATAAACGTGATTTATATGGAAGCCCGAAGCGGACAAACATCCAAACACTTTATTTGACAAAAACTTTATAAAGACTTTTCACACTTCTGAAGACAATGTGTCAGTTACTCAGAGGTTTGTAGTCACAGACTGAGATTCACAAAGATTGGGGATCACTAACTGCAGGACTACAACTAGATTTGTTTAGAGATGTTTAGAGCATTAAACTCTCCACAACTCCACCAGTTTCTCCTCCTTTTCAGCAGTCCAGGAGAACCGCCTCCCCGCCACATTTACAAGTCTGCAGCTTCCTGTTTGGTGCTGCTGATGCCGCTCCTATTGGTTGAACAACACAATTTGCATAAGACAACACAAAGACCTGCGATAATATGAAAAATGTTTGATTTTATCATGACAGCGAGACGGCCTTAAAACAGCTCGGACTGACTTTCATGAACTCCTTACACCAAACAATCCAGATCACAGAGCGCACTCCAACTGTAGAACAACATTTTGTTAAGTGTAAAGACAGCATTAGACCCGACAGGAAGGAAGTGGATTGATGGATGGATGGATGGATGGATGGATGGATGGATAGATGGATGGATAGATGGCTGAATGGATGGATAGATGGATGGATGGATGGATAGATGGATGGATGGATGGATGGATGGATAGATGATGGATGGATGGATAGATGATGGATGGATAGATGGATGGATGGATGGCTGAATGGATGGATAGATGGATAGATGGATGGATGGATGGATGGATGGATGGATGGATAGATGGATGGATGGATGGATGCATGGATAATGGATGGACAGATGGATGGATGATGGATGGATGGATGGATGGATGATGGATGATGGATGATGGATGATGGATGGATGGATGGATGGATGATGGATGGATGGATGGATGGCTGAATGGATGGATGGATAGATGGATGGATGGATGGATGGATGGATGCATGGATAATGGATGGACGGATGGATGGATGGATGATGGATGGATGATGGATGGATGATGGATGGATGGATGGATAGATGATGGATGGATAGATGGATGGATGGATGGATGGATAGATGGATGGATGGATGGATAGATGGATGGATGGATGGATGGATGGATGCATGGATAATGGATGGACGGATGGATGGATGGATGATGGATGGATGGATGGATGATGGATGGATGGATGGATGGATGATGGATGGATAGATGGATGGATGGATGGATGGATGGATGGATGGATGGATGGCTGAATGGATGGATGGATAGATGGATGGATGGATGGATGGATGGATGCATGGATAATGGATGGACGGATGGATGGATGGATGATGGATGGATGGATGGATGGATGGATGGATGGATGATGGATGATGGATGATGGATGATGGCTAGATGATGGATGATGCATGGATAATGGATGGATGGATGATGGATGGATGGATGTAGGGATGGATGGACGGTTGGATAGATGGATGGATTGATGGATGGATGGATGGTTGGATGTAGGGATTGATGGATGGATGGATGAATAGATGGATGGATGGATGGATGGCTGAATGGATGGATGGTTGGATGTAGGGATTGATGGATGGATGGTTGGATAGATGGATGGATTGATGGATGGATGGCTGAATGGATGGATAGATGGATGGATGAATAGATGGATGGATGGATGGATGTACTGATCCATGTCCTCTTCGGGCCTCTGTAGATTTATCAGCAGTCAGTAATCTGTTCTCTATCTTTAGATGTTTCTTCCACTCCTCCAGAGGGCAGCAGAGAGGGACTCACCTGAAAACAACAAAGGTAAATATCTCTCATTCTGTACTGCTTCTCCTGTTTTGCTTTGGTTTTTATGCTGTCGTATCGCTAATCCAAACGCAGGTTTCATCACTGGTTGGACGGAATTAACAAAGTCATCAAAATTGTTGATGAAAAATGTTTAAAAAGATCGGGTAACATTTTCTCTCGCGTGCTAACACTGTGTTCTCCGACTAACTTTTCTTATTGTTCATACGGATAACACCTTTACTGTACAACAATCCAACCAAAGCAGCTGTTACTTTATCCAACTATCATTGTTCACAGTGGAAGTGTTTTTGTCTCTTCTTCAGGTGATACAATGTCCTGCAGGAGGTCAGCCATCATCAACATCTCCACATTGATCTCCTCCATAGAGAAATGTCCAGAGAGTTTCTCTGTAGCACAGATGTACCCTTACAGGACCAGCAAGGTACCTTAACCTTCGCACATGTTTGTATGTCATTGGATAGAAATGTCAATGAGCTTTCCTATGTTCTGAGAGGTTAAATTAATATTTTGGTCAGTGGAGTCTGGTTCCTTGGAGGGAAGTGATGTCACATGTCCGGTCTTAACAAAACATATTTCATTAAAGGCAGGGTTGTTAATTTTTGAAAACTAGCATGATTTTGAAAATAGCATTCCCTCAGTGCTCCGTCTGCACCCACCCCCTCCCCTCTGTGCTCCCTCTAAAGCCACACCCCCTCACTTACATGCACGAGCGCCATCCCTCCAGAAGTGGACCTCAGCTCATCTCTGTCATTGTGTAGAAACTACGTCGTCTCATTCATCGCTAAGTAAACACTAGACTTTATCATAACATAAAAATGTAAAAAATATAAAGCAGGGGTGCGCTGGTGGCGCAATGGTTAGGGCGCATGCCCCATGCATTGAGGCTGTCGTCTTGAGCGGGAGGCCCGGGTTCGCTTCCACCTGTGCCTTCCTTCCACATGTCATTCCCCGCTCTCTCTCTCTGGTTTCTGACTCTATCCACTGTCCTCTCTCTCTCTGGTTTCTGACTCTATCCACTGTCCTCTCTCTCTCTCTGGTTTCTGACTCTATCCACTGTCCTCTCTCTCTCTGGTTTCAGACTCTATCCACTGTCCTCTCTCTCCACTGGTTTCCAACTCTATCCACTGTCCTCTCTCTCTCTGGTTTCAGACTCTATCCACTGTCCTCTCTCTCCACTGGTTTCCAACTCTATCCACTGTCCTCTCTCTCTCTGGTTTCTGACTCTATCCACTGTCCTCTCTCTCCCTGGTTTCCAACTCTATCCACTGTCCTCTCTCTGCATTAAAGGCCCAAACTCTCTCAGAAACTCTCTCTGGTTTCCATCTCTATCCACTGTCCTCTCTCTCTCTGGTTTCTGACTCTATCCACTGTCCTCTCTCTCTCTGGTTTCCAACTCTATCCACTGTCCTCTCTCTGCATTAAAGGCACAAACTCTCTCAGAAACTCTCTCTGGTTTCTGACTCTATCCACTGTCCTCTCTCTCTCTGGTTTCAGACTCTATCCACTGTCCTCTCTCTCCCTGGTTTCTGACTCTATCCACTGTCCTCTCTCTCCCTGGTTTCTGACTCTATCCACTGTCCTCTCTCTGCATTAAAGGCACAAACTCTCTCAGAAACTCTCTCTGGTTTCTGACTCTATCCACTGTCCTCTCTCTCTCTCTGGTTTCAGACTCTATCCACTGTCCTCTCTCTCTCTCTGGTTTCTGACTCTATCCACTGTCCTCTCTCTCTCTCTGGTTTCAGACTCTATCCACTGTCCTCTCTCTCTCTGGTTTCTGACTCTATCCACTGTCCTCTCTCTGCATTAAAGGCACAAAAAGCCCAAAAAATAAATCTTAAAAAAAAATAAAAAGTGACTATTTTACTACTCAGAATACATTCTGTCATCGGTGACTCGCTTTGAGCATGGGCTAGAGCATGCAAGGGGTAGAGAGCGAGCAGGGAGGCAGGGAGGCGTCTGATTGGTTCATCAGATTGGTACCTCATGGCAGACATTGGTTGAAGTTTTTACAGACTTACAAACTGATACAGATAACGGATTTTCTTTGTTCCTTTTTCAGAGAACATGAGTTATTAATTTCTGTCAGGACCTAAAGACAATTTCAACCAAAATCTAGACCTATCTAGATCCCTGCCTTTAATGATTCAATCATTTTAGCTCACAGAATCAGGAGTTCTACCTATGCCTCAGTCAGGTAGTTAGTTTGTGTATTTATTTGAATTAATTGTTTTTAAACTGTTAGAATCTGACTCAGTATTTGTGTAACACATGATTAGACAGAATCATCTCCAATGTTCTTTGAGGTAAAGTTACAGTTATTATTCCAGTTGTTTTGGAGAAGGTGTGTGTGACAGAAAGGATCCCTCCAGAGAGAGCTTTTTGATGTTTCAAACACACTCACTCAAACCTCTGGTGCTTTTTGTGTTATGTTGAATAGATTGAGGCAGCAGTCAACCTGCGAATCTCTCATTGTGCAAACTAAACTTTCTGTTTTGTTCGATCATGACTAAGTCCCCCTGAAGGCTGTTTCTGCTTTCAAACTTTTAGTGAACAAACTTGAATCGTGGCACTTGAACGTCGCAGCCAATCAGGGTTTCAAAGCTCACAGCTGAAGCAATTCTTCTAGGGCAAACATTTGTATTCAGAGCATTAAACTCCAGAGGAAAGATTTGAACTTCTCACTGGGTCACCTGTTTGTATAATAAGATTAATCCCTCCATCAGTTAAACAAATACTGAACTGTTTGAGAATGTGGTCAGGCCTGAGCTGTCACTCGTCTCTGGGTGTGGAGGACAGTAAAGTATGTAAAGTCATTGTTGTCTCGGCCACACAGGTGTGTTCTCCCCTCAAGTATGTGTGTGTGTTTAGTTGTTTGAAAGGAATACCATTTATAGCTTTCAGTCACATGACCAGTGAGGAGGGCTGAATGGCAAAAAGAGCCACCATTGAAAACACTGTAAAACTGAGGCGTGGGCTTTTTAATCTCCTCTAAACGGCAGATGTTTTCATCACCTGACAGCCAAAGTAAAAAAAGATCTTCAAATGAACTATGAGTTTTGGATTTTGGTATTTTTGACATTATGATAATACAAAAACTGAACAAAGAGGCATTTCTGAAAGCTAGGCTGCTACACCATCCCAAAGATAGGAGGTCATTACTGTAAATGCTGAAGAGCAATGGACCTAAGATTGACCCCTGTGGCACTCCCAAGGTGATCCTTGATCCTCACACACTGGGAACGATCCAGAAGATATGATCGAAACCATTGAAGAGTTAGAAGAGAGTTTTAAATTTGACAACTTTGATAGAAGGACAGAGTGGTTCACTGTATCAAAAGCCTTACGGAGAAACCATCCTCGGTACTTTTAGAGAGAGTGGGTCATTGAGACAAAAGATATTATATCCTTTTAAATTATGTGGTATAAAACGTATTGGAGGGAACCTTAAATTAACTATTTTAATAGATCAATAGTGTAATGGAGATGTGGTTGTAATAATATCTCAGGGTTGGTTGAAGCTGGGGGGGAAGGGCCGAATGAGAGATCTGTTCATGGAGCCCAGATAAATCCTAGAAATGAAAAGAAATGTGATGATTTTGTTTTGAACTTGTGTCCATCACCAGGCAGCGCTGAACATGCTGACTCGATGTCAGGCTGAGGACTTCAGGGCACACAACATCCTGGTGACAGCCGTCCATCCGGGCTGGGTCCAAACTGAGATGGGAGGAGACCAGGTGAGAAGTTCTGTAGGACTTTTGTTTACGCAGGTCGTCAGCATAACAAACCAACATTTAAAGCACTGAACGTCTCTGAGAGTAACCTAACCGTCATAAAACACTTATAAAGCGAGACAGGAATGAGTACAAGCTGAAGAGATGTTGGTGTTTTGTTAGAGCACATAAACTACGTTAGGTAATACCTCCACTTGTGAAGTTTGAAGTTTTTACTCGTCTTTAAAAAGGCGGTTGCTAACAAGCGGCTAAATGTGACTACAGTGGTTGTCGGGGTCATTAAAGGTCATCACGCCGGACACAGAGGGCGGGAACTCTCTCACTAGTCGGAGATGTCTCCTGTAGGTTTAATCTTTAGGTTCAGGTGAATATTATGTTAGTAAACTATTTATTAAGCTACGTGGATTAGTTTATCGGAGATCGTCTGAAGCATAACGCTAGTGATGTCACAATCATCTGACCGTGGTGTAGTTAGCTTGTAGCATAACGTTAGCTTTTTACTTCTGTCGGCCGCATTAATGCTTCAAACATCATAAAAATGGCGTTCATCTGTGAAGATTATCCTGCTGAACAAAACGCCTACGTTTCAGAAACGTGTGTTTACCACAGAGATTATTTTCTGCAATGATCCAAAATCCAATGAAAACATCCCAGAGGAGGATTCTGGTTAGACCCCATGGAGATGATACTTCAGGGTTGGCCTACAAAAATACGTCATATGGTTTGTTCTCTTTAGTGTAGTATAATAACCAGCTCACCATCTCCAACATATAAAAGTCTGTCCAATATTTCCTCTAGTCCGACTCTCTCTCTATTTTCTTCTCTTCCTCCGTCTCCGTCCTCTTCCTCTCAGTCGTCGTATCAAACAGTACAGAGACGGGCTAACTGTCTGATTTGTTTCTGAAGGCTGCTGTGTGAACCAGCGCCGTAAAGATGTACGCACTTCTCACCAGATGACCTCGGCCCGCTGCCAAAGTTACATAGTGCTGAAAACAGACGAGCAGGGCGCTCTGTGGACGCCATGAGAGAGACGCCATGAGAGAGACGCCATCCTCCCTTCTGGAGGTTATTGTTCTAATAGATCGACTTTAAAACAACTGCTTGAAGGAAGAGGAGTTACAGACTGTTGCTTTAAGAAGTGCAGAAGATGAGATGTGGAGGATGGAAAGTGCGGACAGTTTGCATTTAAACATAAAAAAACGACTCGGACAATATGGGATAATTTCCAGGAGGTTAGGGTTAGAAAACTCTGATTTGGCCTCCGGTTTGACACCTGTGCTCTGCAGATGGATTCTAATGATGTCCTGGGCAGTTTGTTTTTAGTCAAGACTTCTCCGACCTAAAAGTTTCCTTCAGAACAGATTTAGGATCACTGGTTCATCACCATCAGCTGCTTATGATGTGTGTTTAAATCTTCTTTGTGTTTCTGACTGCTTCTCCTCAGTTGTGATTCTCCTTTATGTTGGATCTTCTGTGCATTTTTAAACGTTGTTGCCCCCCCACCTCTCTTTCAGGCTCCGTTGACCACTCAGGACAGTGTACGTGGGATGCTCAGTGTGATGGTGTCATTCAGTAACAAAGACTGTGGGAGGCTCCTGGACTGGCAGGGCGGCGCCATCCCCTGGTAGCAGACAAGAACCATCAGACGGATCCTGTCTCCATGGAGACATAAACAGCCACATGGACGAAGTTTTCCATGTTGTTGTCTCTAACTGCACATTTTTAAATGAATGTTTGAATCTGTAATTAAAAAAAACAACCACACATTGTTTTTCATGTGTGTCTCTTTCATTGAGCTCTGTGAATATAGTGCCACCTAGTGGTAAGACTGCAGATTGCAACCAACTGATTTGAAACTCTCCCCTTGTGTAAGGTATTTTCAAACCTCCAAAACAGGAAACTTTTATTTTATTGCAAACTTACACATATAGATCCACAGATCCCACGAGGTGGACGGTAAATGTTTCCTCCTGAGCAGTTCCTTTAAGTTGGTTGTCAGCGGCGTTTGCTTCACCGAAATAAGATTGTAACAACTCCCAACTACCAGTCTGTACCCGACGTTTGTGTTGCATGGGCGACCGTCCTGTTAGCATGAAAAAGCTAGGCTAGCAAAGCGACAGCCACAACCCCTGAGATGGATTGACACATGAACAGACTAATCGGTGTTGAGCTTTGACTCGTGGTGCATCAGTGATGTTTCTCTAAAATAGCAGCAGCCTCAGTATTAACACTGATTGATATACAGACAGATTGTTAGCGTTGTTAGCTTGGAGTATTGTTTTGGTTTGGTTAAAACCCAGGGAGCGTGCCTATGTTCCCACATTTCCTCTATCATAGATTTGTATCAGATTTTTTCCCTTTTTCCCAATTTGGTAGCCAATTACAGCCAACCTGTTATCCAGTAGCGATGGACTACAGATGGAATGTAGCTTTTAGCTAAATCTGGTGCGCCCATCTCTTTGTTTATTGCAAACATTTAATGTAAGTGCACATTGTCCTTTTAAATAAACAAACTAAACTAAGTAACACAGAGGCCTCACAATGACTAGCTTCCTGTCAGATCAGTCGAATGAAGTCAACTGGACGCAAACCATAGTTTACAGTGCATCAATACCTCTGAAGAGACGGGTTGGCATGGGGGGCGTCATAGGCTCATGGATAGAAATGTAGGGCTGACCCCAAAACCCAGACGTGCCGCTTGAGAACCAAAGAGTACCAGTCAAATCAGGATGTATGGTCACTCTACCCTTAAGGTAACTACGGTTAACTACTAAGGAGGGAGAGGGTGGAGGGAGAAGGAGGAGGAGAGGGTGGAGGAGAAGGAGGAGGAGAGGGTGGAGGGAGAAGAAGGAGGGAGAGGGTGGGGGAGAAGAAGGAGGAGAGGGTGGGGAGAAGAAGGAGGAGAAGAAGGAGGAGAGGGTGGGAGAAGAAGAGGGAGAAGAAGGAGGAGAGGGTGGAGGGAGAAGGAGGAGGGAGAGGGTGGAGGGAGAAGAAGGAGGAGAGGTGGAGGGAGAAGAAGGAGGGAGAAGAAGGAGGAGAGGGTGGGGAGAAGAAGGAGGGAGAAGAAGGAGAGAGGGTGAAGAGAAGAAGGAGGAGAGGGTGGGGGAGAAGGAGGAGGAGAGGTGAAGAGAAGAAGGAGGAGAGGGTGGAGGGAGAAGAAGGAGGGAGAAGAAGGAGGAGAGGGTGGGGGAGAAGAAGGAGGGAGAGAAGGAGGAGAGGGTGAAGAGAAGAAGGAGGAGAGGGTGGGGAGAAGGAGGAGGAGAGGGTGAGAGAAGAAGGAGGAGAGGGTGGAGGAGAAGAAGGAGGGAGAAGAAGGAGGAGAGGGTGGGGAGAAGGAGGAGGAGAGGGTGAGAGAAGAAGGAGGAGAGGGTGGAGGGAGAAGAAGGAGGAGAAGAAGGAGGAGAGGGTGAGAGAAGGAGGGAGAGGGTGAAGAGAAGGAAGGAGGGAGAGGGTGGAGGGAGAAGAGGAGGAGAGGGTGGAGGGAGAAGGAGGAGGGAGAAGAAGGAGGAGAGGGTGGAGGGAGAAGGAGGAGGAGAGGGTGGAGGGAGAAGGAGGAGGAGAGGGTGGAGGGAGAAGGAGGAGGGAGAGGGTGGAGGGAGAAGGAGGAGGGAGAAGAAGGAGGGAGAGGGTGGAGGGAGAAGGAGGAGGAGAAGAAGGAGGAGAGGGTGGAGGAGAAGGAGGAGGGAGAGGGTGGAGAGAAGAAGGAGGGAAAGGGTGGAGGGAGAAGAGGAGGGAGAGGTGGAGGGAGAAGAAGGAGGAGGGGAGAGGTGGAGAGAGAGGGTGGAGGGAGAAGGAGGAGGAGAAGAAGGAGGGAGAGGGTGAGGGAGAAGAAGGAGGGAGAGGTGGAGGGAGAAGAAGGAGGGAGAGGGTGAGGAGAAGAAGGAGGGAGAGGGTGAGGGAGAAGGAGGAGGAGGGTGGAGGGAGAAGGAGGAGGGAGAAGGAGGAGGAGAGGGTGGAGGGAGAAGGAGGAGGGAGAAGGAGGAGGGAGAAGGAGGAGGGAGAGGGTGGAGGGAGAAGGAGGAGGGAGAAGGAGGAGGGAGAAGCTGCTGGTGCAGTAGGTAGCGGGTGGAGAGGGTGAGTGTATGTTCTGATAAGTGTCTGCATCATCAGATCTTCATATTTGAATCAAAGAGAGCAGCGTCAGAGAAAAGCAGGTTTAATGTGATCCTCAAACAGCCGACACACACAAACAGATCGTCTTCAAGAACGGCTGCGTCCACATGTTGGGCCGCAGTGTCCATTTAACTTTATCGATCCACAGGTGATGATGACAG